AAAGGTCAGTGAAGCGATCTTCCACTGTGTAGTGTGCCACTAGACGTATGCAAGTAGGGGCGGTGGGGTAGCCTTGTGGTTAAAGCGTTCGCTCGTCACGCCGAAGACCAGGGTTTGATTCCCCACACGGGTACAATGTATGAAGCCCATTTACGGTGTTCCCCGCTGATATTGCAGGAATATTGCTAAAAGCGGCGTAAAACCAAACTCACTCAGTCACTGAATGCAAGTAATGTTATTGATATTCGAAGAAGGGCCGAGTAATGGTCCGTTGGTTGGTTGGTTGGTTGTTTAACGACGCACTCAGCAATATTCCAGCTATATGGCTGCAGTCTGTAAATAACTGAACCTGGACCAGACAGTCCAGTGATCAACAGCATGAGCATCGATGTACGCAATTGGGATACGATGCCTCTAACGACAAGCATGGATTGCTGAAGACCATCTCGGATCTTTACTTCGCGAGTAAAGGTATCTATGGAAGGTGGATTGCAGTGGTAGAGAAAATTCACAAGAGTGAGAGAGCTGGTTTGACGACGTATCGGCCACACGTAGAAGGACAGCTTTAAACTATGATCATGCCGCGGAGTTGAGATGACAAATCAAAACCCATATCTAGGTGAAGCTGGAATTCGAAGAGCGACGCCTTTGATTTCAATTTTTGTCGTGTCACTCCCCAAGCTAGAACTCGTTTTTCAATTGATAGCACCTAAATTTACAACTGAGCAACGTACGTTCGGTATTCATCTTGTCCAATCATCGCTGAATATGTCAGCACAAGGGAAGGTCTAACAAACCTGAATACTTTTTCATTTTAAATAAGAAAATAGGAATTTCTGTGAAATTATAAGCACAACACAAATATATAATCATGTTCCAATGTATTGATATACGCCATCCTTATCTTCTTACATCATAATTCCATTTTCCTCAATATCATCCTGCTCACCTTTTTCTCGCGTGTGTTTGTAATGTAATATAAGCCGTACTAAAACACTGAATATATCGATACCTTGGGCAGCATGCATGTGAATATAAGCCTTACTAAGATGTGTATGCATGTGGATATAAGCCTTACTAAGATGTGTATGCATGTGAATATAAGCCGTACTAAGACATGGATGGATGTCAATATATTTATACCATTGGTTGTATGCATGTGAATATGAGCCGTAGTAAGACATGCAAGTCTGTGAACATATACTCATGCCAGTAATGGTTGTCAACCCCATCCTATTAATAAAATTGAAGGGGGTGACAACCATTATTGACATGAGTATATTTACACAATGGGGTGCATGTTTGTGAATACAAGCCGTACTATGACACGCAAGTATGTGGATATATTTATACCACGGGTTGCATGTATGTGAATAACGTAATATACTAGGCACATAAAGAAACTGTGCATACAAAAAATTAAAATCTAAATTTATCAAACCTGTGTAGACACACAAGGATTTTTTAAACTCAGAGATTAGTGACATGTATCCAACATGCATGCACGTGCCACGTTCCGTGAAGTCAGTGGGTTCGTCCTTGAGACGTGCAATACGTTCTTGTACGTGTATTTCCGGGAAAGAGAAACAGAGGAAATGAATGCCACACAATACTGTCACTTTGGAAAGCTCAACCCCTGCCCTTGCGATCGTTCAAAAAATTAAACGGCTATTGAAACGCATAGCATGGCAAGGCTCACGTCTGCACAACGTCATGAGGCCATTGGGATGGTCCGTGGGGGAATGTCTCAACGACAAGTGGCTGCACATTTCCACTGCCACCTGAACACCATTTCTGCACTGGAGAGGAGCTACCAGAACACAAATGACGTCATCGATCGGCCACGTTCTGGACGTCCACGTGTAACAACGCCAAGACAGGACAGATGGATAAGGGTGACCCATCTTCGCCACAGGTTTCAGACTGCCGTGATGACTGCCCAAACCATCCCAGGACTTCGCCGTATCCACCCCAACACAGTTCGACAACGTTTACGTCATCATGGGATCAGACCACGACGTCGCGCCATACGGCCTATCCTGACACAACGTCATCGACAAGCTCGCCGAATGGGGTGCCGAAATCATGTCCGCAGACCCTTGTTTTGGTGGAGAAATGTTGTTTATACAGATGAGTCCAGGTTTAACATTTCCCATAGTGATGGACGTCAACGTGCCTATAGACGCGTGGGAGAACGTTATGCACAGGCCTGTGTCTTGGAGAGGAATCGCTTTGGTGGTGATTCCGTGATGATTTGGGGTGGAATAACAGCACGCCAAAGAACACCTTGGTGATTGTTCAGGGCAACTTAACTGGTGTGGGCTGCAGGGATCAGATTCTTCGACCTGTGGCAATTCCTTTTCTGCAACGTCATACCCGTTATTGAGCTTGTGACATGGTCGTTTGACCCCTGTCCCGCTTGTGGACTCGTGACGTCATTGTGATAGACTTTTCAAATGAAATTCTCCCTACTTGTTATGATCTCATGACCATATATGTACCTTTGACATTGTTATCGTACTTATCAACTGGGATAATATTTTTTGACAATGCACAGTTTCTTTATGTGGCTAGTATATATCTTCAATTGCAACGTTACCCTAGAGGTTTATGTTAGTAAAATTATAAGTAACAAGGATGTTGACAAAGAGGTCAGATGTCCGTTATATCTATAGATAGTATCTCTCCTAAATTCAGTGGGAGGCCATGTGAACCTACTCGAGTGTCTCGTCAATGCACGAACCCTCAGCACAGGATAATTCGAGATATGTCCGTTTATCCGTTTCGGTGTATTGTTTCGTCACCGTGCATGTAAGACTAACAAGGAAGAACCTATTTACGCATACCCTCTTCAATTGGAACAAGGCAACAGCCAATCGTAATCGGTTGACGGTTGAATCAGTGAAAAACAGGAAATGTTCACGAACAGTATGGTGAATATAGGATTTCCTATAGATTGCCCTGTCACTGTCTGAAGAGTGTATAATAATGATTAGACACAATTTACAGTTAAACCCACCACATTGGTATTAGGGCACAAGAGTGAGTAGGTTCACATTAGTAGTATTTAAGCCATGTTGTGGAATTTAAACCTGTGAGAAATACGCGATATGTCGGAAAGCGCAAATTCTACCATGATATTTAAGTATGTTCGTTTTTGATTGGCTGTTACTAAAAAATTAGAAGTGAAAGTTTTTCAGTAACCACTTATGAGATCCTGTTCACTGCGCGCAGTGTCAAAACACTACGCAAGGGTAATGAGTGCATATTTAAATCGCGTTTTATTCATGCTGCATATGCCATTGTAGAATGGAGATAATCCTATTGTGTTTACATTTTGGAAGTGATTATAGTTGGTTGAACGCTGCTGAATGTTTTATTTAAAACCTCACGCTAACGCGTTCGGTTTTAGATGACATTTAGCAGCGTAAACATAAACATCAATATCATCGGAATACATTATACTTGTGTTACGCACAAACAAATCCATGACCGACAGTGTAACTAGGTTTGTTTCTATTTCAAGTAGAGCATAACTAACTGACTCTAACAGAATGATATACAGGATCTTATTTTAGCTATAGATCACTTGGTTTATGCTAATTTGACTCAATGGCGACTTATGGCGTTTGTTTATTCGCAAATGAGGCTTACGCAATGCTTCATATTGCTGAAAATATCCTCTACGCTTAGAGATGGCTAAAAAACAAATTGCCAAACATTACCATTTAAAATAAAGGAAATAACATATCTGTGAAGTTGGTATGTACAACATGGCAATAGCCAATGACATACCACGGCGTGACCGTGCGTTAACTACACAACCATTTTCGGTTGGTGCATCTACGGAAGCCATACCGAATGGAACAATAACAGCAACGGTTACGTTGTTCAACGTCATTTACATGATGGACCGTGTAATGGTTTGAGTGGACATCATGAAGAATAGGTAAAATCCTATTTTTGTAAAATGTGGCATTGTACAGGGACGACATCGTTAGAGATAAAGTTTTACGCATCATGCGAAGCCCCATGTGCCCTCCAGATGTTGCAAGGGAACTTTAGGGTCATCATATATTCTTAAAAAACTAGGGGCTCATTTTTAATTTACGACTGAAAAAATGGGAGATTTATCGGAGTGAATCAATGATGATATACTAATAATTAATGTTTTGAGAGTATATCACCTCTTGCACTTCCTTGTCACCAGATTAAGATTATTTAAACAATAATCGCTCTTGAATGATGATTAATGTATGACGTGAATTTTGCATGCGTACTATTTTCATTTTCAATGGTCTACAGTGATTGAAAACCGTCAAAATCAAGAATGGCACCCTAAACAAGAATGCGTTCCATGCGTTGTGTTTAGGGGTGATGATAAAGAGAAATAGTGGTGCGTTGATAAGATGTCTGTCTTTGAAAAGTCTGTTAACTCTTATACGTCCTATCCCAAATGGAAGTTCAGGTTCCCCTACATTTTTTAAAGATTATAATATTGCTGGTTGTTTCTCAAGATTTCGCCGCAACAGAACATGACTGGGATGAGAAGGACCGACGCCGACTACAGGACCAGAACCAACCGGGACTTTGGACAAATCGTCGGTTCACTCCCGGTGTCTTCAATGCACCACTATTGCCTCGACTGTGTTATTGTAAATGTTGGTTATACCCTATATCGACATTGTTCACCGAGTCGTTATACCACCCATAGTTTAGACCGAGTCGATGTCGCTCCTGCTGACAAGTCAAAGGTTTGTCAGTGAAAGTGTTATGATAAACCATTATGCTGACGAACGATCGAAGTTTATGTCGATAGTGTAAATAACATGATATTTACATCACTGTAAATGACTGACAGACTGAGTTTAGTTTTACGCCGCTTTTAGCAATATTCCAGCAATATCACGGCGCGGGACACCAGAAATGTCACTGTAAAAGATGAAGCTACTTTTTCTTAGTATATAAAAACACCGGTCTGACAAATCAACAAAGCAGTGTTCTAATGTCTTGGGCATTTCCAAGAACAGAAAATAGACATGACGCACTAAACATGAAGGTTATTGTTTGTTCGTGCTTGGCAATATTTATATCGGGTAAAGTCATTTCAAAGGAATCGGGATATAAATATTATTTGTCAATATCTTCCAATGCCGATACAACCAACAAATCCAACATATATGAAGATCAATAGATGAGGAAAGTCGTAACCAAATAATGATTAAATACACAAAAATGTCATTTCAGAATGGCAGAAGAGATCAGGAAATGTGATTACAAACAGGTACTAGAATACCCTTATTCTTTACAAAAATATTTAGGGTATAGAACTACATGTATTCCCCTGTCTTCACCCGGACGTTAAGCGGTCAAGAGCGCCTGTATTCACTGGGCAGAGTTACTACTGTGAGCCAGGATCCCCTGATCGCAGTTGGACTTCTCCAAGTGGTGTTATCCTCAGGGCACTAACTTACTCCTTATCATTGATTATTCAACATATAGATAACACTAAAGGCTTAAAAGTCACTACAAAAGTCCTGAAAAGATCAGCATACAATTGCTACTTGACATCTTCTGCAATATCTTGCCACTTAAGGAGGTTTACGATTGGTTTAGCGTTTCAAGGATCCAATGTTCCGTATGTGAAGCTGAACTTTTTAAAAGGTATATTTTCAGGAAATCTCCACTTTATTGTAGATGTGATTTTATATCCGTCTCTGGCACACATTTTATGCCATTAGACTTTTATATAGTTTATTTTTCATTTTGGCAATAACAAAAGTGGCCTAATCTGAAAGATGTCAAGTGTTGTCACCCTCAACACACCAACTTACTCCTCTCCATATTCAACATATAGAAAAAATCTCCATAAACTGTTTGAATTAAGTAACTATAAGTGTATGTTCAGTTCTGCAGTTCTGTCTTCATTACAAGGGAATATATCTGATGCAATATATTCTTATATAATCGTGTCAATTTAGTTAGATGTGGGTCATCATTTATGCGTGTTACCATTTTGTTATTGTTGATGGATCTTTGATATTCTGAATGCAACTGCCTAACTTCAAAATCATTGTTCGAAAGAGAGAGGTGCGGAAATGTCTTCTTTAACACTCCGGATGAGAGAATATGGTTTTAAGCAGCCTTTACAAATATTCCTGTGACGTCATGCCGAGGAACACTAGAAATGGTCATCAGCCATTGTTTTGAAAACTTTAACCAGTCTGATACCCCTCTCCTTTCACTGTCTGAGTTACCTCATAATTTGGATGTTTTGATGCATAATTCCCGTTGTTGTTTCCCGATGGCTCATGGTGTCGCCCCAGTCCTTTAGTTCCCCTGTTTCTGAGTAGGTGAAGCTGTCTTTCCTTCCATGTATACTGGCACTATCCTCGGAATCAGGATTGAAACCATTCTGGTCCAGTGCGTTCATACGCTGCCATAAGTTGATCTTGTCCACAAGATTGATAACCTGCTCTCTGCCCGTGACTTCAGGGTCACAGGGATGCATCGGCACGGTCATGTATCCGTTTCTCGTGCTTATGGTTATCGAGTTTTGTTTAGTAATCTGAGGATGAGAGTTCCCAGAATGTTCAGATGCTGACGAAGTAGGCGTCTGTGGTCCAATCCACACTGGTATGTAATCACCATCACGTCTGGAAGAGGCACGATCAGATGAAGATGAGGATCTCCCCGTGGAAAACAGATCAACTGAAGGCAATGACTCAGATGTTTCTGATTGCCTACGATATGTCCTTACACATGCAGGTTTGGGAGTTCTAGGCACTTCAGGAGGTATGGAATCAGTAGTGGTCTTCGAGTGATCAGAAATTGGAACTTTAGGGAAAGGTGGTTTGGGTTTGTTTGGGGGTTTGAGCAGTTTCGCCCTGAGATACTTTGATGTTCCTCATGTAGGTCTCCATGTCCTCTCGGCACTGCCTTAACGCATTCTTATAGCCGCCACTGCCTACAAGTAATCTGTCGTTCTTAGCCACTCTGAACATCAAAGGAATTGTAACTGGGATCTCCAGAAGTATGTTCTTCAGATTGAAAACAGATGACACAATGACTGATGGCTCTTTGTGACACTCTTCCAACTTCATCACCCCTGTAAATATACAAGGGGTAACAGGAAAACGTCCGTATACTAACTTGACTATACAAGGGAGTTTGATATCAGCTATGATATCCTTGACAGGCATTATAGGAATTTCCGTTTTTCCGCTCTTCTGCTTTAGAGGATAGAAAACTCCTGTGGCATCAAAGGGAAGCAGGATCTCCCTGTCAGCATAATCCGTGCAGCGAAGGAACTTCTCTTCTTTAGAAACCGATTTCATGAATATTTTCTTTTTAACTTTAGTTGTTGTAACATGTACGTTACCAACTTTGAGGACGTCGCCAGGGTAGAGAACTCTTGGTTGTGGAAGATCACCTTCTCTGTATACCTGCAATGCTTTGACATCATGTTCGCCACCAATCAGAATCGTGTCACAGTCAGAAGAGGCCAGTGTCCTGACCTGGCAGTAGTGAGGAATTGGCTCGACGTGTGGCTTAAGGGTCAGTGCAAACCAGCCTGGAAAGATAACTAAAGCATCTAAATTGTTACCAAAGGGTTAGTTGTTCCTGTATGTAAAGCTGGTCGAACTTTTTATAGACATCTTTACATGAAATCAGGATCCGCATCATTGGAGGTAGAAGTGATTTTATGTCCGTCACTGTCACAAATGTAATGTCTTTTTAGACTCTTTATAAAGTTTTTAGTTATTTTGACAATGACAAAAGTGAAATATACTGGACCAAAACAAGGGTAATCTGAAAGATGTCATATCTCAGTGAACGTTTTTAACGACATGGGACATATGATGAAGATATCAACAGTTACTGTATGAGTACCTAGGAAAGGAAACACACAACGGAGAGATTACCAACACAAATAAAGGATGATGTTAACTTACAAGATATTATGATAAATCATTAAAGTAAATGTCAATCGAAAACCAAATTGGCATACAATCATCTGTATTGCTAAGTTCAGTGCCTCTCAAGCTTATTCAAGGTCTTGTATCTATTGTCCATTCAATCATTCCAACCTATTGTTACCTACCTTTGTAGTCTTCAGGTATGAGTAGAGGGTCCCCGACCTCATGAGTGTTCCCAGTTTGAGGATCAGTGTTGAGACTGGTTGCTGTCACCTTGTTACACACATGTTTCCGGTACAACAATAGCGGCTGAAGGAAATCAAAATTCTCTCTGGATATGTCATCATTAAGTGTATAGGCACACTGTACCACACGGGGAAGGGGGTACTTCTGTAGAATGTCCTCCAAGGAATATATCCCATCCTCCCATTGCAGGTTCGGTCTGGCGACAATTTCCTGAGGACGGATATTCAAAGAAGGCTTTGGGAACATTATGCGAGACCTGCTGTCCGCTGCGAGAGAAGCTCCCAGAAGAACATTAGTCTTCTGTTGCTAAGTTACATCATGTTATTAAAAAATATTCCACTTCCTTGTTTGCACTTTCACACACAGGGCAAATAAACTTGCGGTTTTATAATAGAAAGTGCTTCCTTATATAACCTCAATCTAAAAGTAATGTAGAAAATGTTTGTGTGTGCAACATCAGTATTTTTCTAAAGTAGTCAATGATGCTCTAAGGATGTATCTGTATAAGGTTCATTGCGTCTCGTGCAGTATTGCATATGTGGTCTATTTGTTTTGAAGAATAAACAAACTGCCTTGTTCCTGGTTGGGTGGATCTTATGGTTACGTGTGATTATAAATCGTCCCGGCAAACACTGCTGTCAGCACAATATTGTCCTCGTGGGTTTCACCAATGTGGTTGCACTAAACTTTTGTCTATCAATATATATTTTTACCTGCTCTGTTAGTAACGAGCTACGAAAGATAAGCGAAGAACAGAATTATAGACAGATTACACTAACATTATAGGCACTATATCACACCACACTTCTCTAAAACTAAATACTGCATTTCTGTCAATAATACTAACTATCAGCTCTCAGGGAAGCTACCATTTAATTCATTCCCCCAAAAACATGTCTCTTGGAGCGCTATTTACGAATATCCTACGCACAACTTATGATTGAAACCAGTTCAGCAAACAACGACAATACCGTGTGCGACAGTTTTCGATGTACGGAGCAATTGGTCACATTCGATATGTTGCAAGTGTTCTCTGTTTGGAGGTTGTTCACCTCGAAGTTTCAATTATCGATTTCAGGCAAGTCGTAAGGGATAATAAGTCGTTTATTGCATCAATAGGAAGCTAAAGTGAGTTCATATGCCCCAATATATGTAATGTAGGCCCAAATATTGCCAAATATGTGTGACATTGTAACTAAAAGGAAACGTTGTCAGGAAGCAAATCACTCACTGGAACACACTGACTTTTGGGCAACTCCTGATGTTGTAATGTCAGGGGTATATTTTCTTATCCGGATTTATGGCTGAAAAGTATATTTCGTGTAAAGAAAGGTATTTGAGATATTTTCTATATTTTTATGCAGACGCCAAACGTAATGTATTTTCGTTTCATTCAGCTATGGATGTATACATATATTTCGTGCTATTGGCTCAAATGACGTTTGTATCGTGTTGTTTCTTCATCAATTCAACTCAAATATCAATAGACACCCATTGGTTGCATCCATTGCCTTCTTGATGAAGTGACCCGTGAAGATCCGGGTTAGAATTGATCTTCAGTAATCCATGCTTGAGGCGACTAACGGGATCTGGTGGTCAAGCTCGCTGACTTAGTTGACACATGTCATTGTATCCCAACTGTGTAGATCGATGCTCATGCTGTTCATCACTGGATTGTCTGGTCCCGACTCGATATTTACAGACCGCCGCCATATAGCTGGAATATTGCTGAGTGCTGCGTAACACTAAACTCACTCACTCACTCTTGATGAAGTGAGGCGGTGGAGTAGCTTAATGGCTGAAGCTTCAGCTCGTCACGCTGAAGACCGGGTTCGATTCACCATATGGGTATTCAATTCTTTATTACAGAAGTGTAGGCCATCGGCCCATAACTACATAGGTTACATTTACATGGCAAAACATGGTGTGTACAGTATAGATTGATAATTTTTAACATCTTAGATACATTGCATGATAGATAAAGCTAACTAAGTTATTTGTAAGTTTACAATCTGATGATGACATGAGGTGTTTGAATTTGGCTTTACTTGGGTTGATACAATAGGTTTTAGTTAAATGGTTCAAGCGGAGCTGTTGGAACACACGAGGAGAAGATGGTATTCATCCTCAGTATAACCTTCATCGCACTGTAAACATAATCTATCATTTCTATCTATATTATAATACCTTCCAGTTTCTATACGTAACTGATGTGAAAAACATCTAAACTGAGCGAGTGCTACTCTAAACTTTTTAATGTTAATCACATTTAAATACAATTCCCTGGACAATGATATTTTGAAGTAAGAATAAAACATAGATTTGCTGCCATTTTGAAGTGAACTATACCAATTCTGTTCATGAATACATTTAAGTCGACTCACAAATTCAGATAAAAACGAGGTAGGAGAAATAACCGATTGCTGTTCCCAAACAAAACCAAAACCCAAACTGTACAGCAGATCTCGACACTTCGACGCCCAATTAACTTTATTATGATCTAAAGACATTAACATCATATAATAACATTTTTGGGATGACGAGAATCAGACATACTCAATAATTTTAACCAATACTTTATTACCCTTTTATATGCTGGGATATATAGGGGATACCGCCCACATTCACCACGAGCTATATTATTAGTTGTAGAGATCTTAACGCCTAAAAACCGTTTGCAGGCCAATGTATGCACAAATTCGAAATAATCATTCTGACAGAATCCCCAGACCTCGGCACCATACAGCAGAACAGGAGCTATTTTCATATCAAATATCTTAAAGTATAATTCATGAGATATATTACCAAGCTTACTTATATTTTTAAGAACACCAAATAAAGCCTTTTTACCTTGCAAAGCTGCATTAGAACAATGACTAGACCAAGACAAGCCCCTTGTGAATGTTATACCTAGATACTTATATGAGGTTACCGCTTCCAACTTCCTTCCATTATAAAACCAACTTTCTCTTTTTGATAAAATACCACCTTTCTGAAAAACGACAACTTTTGTCTTATCCAAATTGACCTCAAGACCGTATTCTATACAAGACTTTTCTAAAACATCGATTCGCTTCTGTAGCCCTCCAATAGTATCAGATATAAGTGCGATGTCATCCGCAAAAAGAAGAATAAATATTTGAATAACATCAGGATGTAATTGAATACCTGGACCTGAACTTCGTTCTACCTCAACAGCCAACTCGTTGATAAAAATCGAAAACAACAGAGGGCTAAGGACACAGCCCTGACGAACACCACGTGAACAAGGGAAAAATCCTGACAACACATTATTAAATTTTACGCTAGCCTTAACGGATGAATAGATGGACTGTATAGAGTTAACCATTTTGGGGGAAACACCTCTAGATTTCAAAACTGACCATAATTTCAAACGGCTTACACTGTCGAATGCCTTAGCAAACTCCACGAACACACAATAAAGTTTAACCTTTTGCTTACTAAGGTACCTCTGGATAATAGACTGGAGGGTAAAGATATTATCAATGGTGGAGTAATCATGACGGAAACCAGCCTGTGACTCTGCAATTTTACCATATGCTTCACACCAATACGTTTACCTCCTGTTTAGTATAGACACATAAAGCTTGCTAAATACACTAAGAAGAGAAATACCTCTATAGTTAGATGGAGAGTGTATATCACCTTTCTTATATAAAGGAACAATGACAGCCTCCGACCATGATTATTGAAAGTAAGCATGTTCAAACAGGACATTGAAAAGCACTGTAAGATATGGTACCAGAATGTCTGTTGTATATTTGAAAAATTCAGGAATTAATAAATCAGTACCTGAGGATTTGCCACACTTCAGTCCTTCAATGGCGGTTAAAATTTCCTCTTGTGTTATAGGAGAGTCTAAAATGGAGCGTGTCATATCATCACAATTTTCAGAGTCGGTTTCATCGTTAACATTGACGTCTTCGGCAGTGACATCCTCTGATATAATGTAGACCCTTTTAATGTAGACCAAAATGATTTACTGTCATGGAGACATGTTGAAATTTTATTGCTCACAAGTTCATAATATGTTTCTTTTTATTTCTAAGTAGAGATGTGTAGGCATTCCGGGCTTTAATATAATTATTTAGATGAACATCATATGGGTACAATGTGTGACGTTCACTCTTGATGGAGTGCATACAGGCAGTTACCAGGCTGTACAAACTATTCTTCTTGCAGCCGCCCTCCACTGAAGTGCCTCACCAAAGAAGGTGTGATGGCACATTTTCTGTTTTCATTATTTTGTCATAACTGAAATCTTTCTTGATATCTATCTCAAATATGGACATGAAACAAAATGACATCACCAACCATTTGCGTGAACGAGTTTTGTTAAAATGCACAATCAGGAATTTTGCAGCCAGGGCGAGCTCATATTGGACCCAATCTGATGTATGATCTGAGGACGAATGTGTACACGTCTTAGAGCTCTGTCGTGTGCTGGTCATACTTACTTGTCTGTCATCTTTAATCAGGGATACGCCATGTATTTTGGTAACAATGTTCCTAAAGCTGCTACACAGTCTTTCAACATAAATACCTTTACTATAAAATCAATCGAGAAGAGTAGGACCCCTTAAAAGTAATGGTGAGGTGAGGTGAAATGGGGTTTAACGTCGCACTTAAGAATATTTCGCTCACATGACGACGTGCATGCGTGTGTATGTGTGGCTGCTTGTAATAGCCCAGACTTCAGCTACGTTTATAGTGCCAGCTCACTAAGTTACCATGCCGCAGTTAAGCATGAATACCCCACTCCGACACAGTATATATACTGGCTCGGAGCCGACCAGTCCTTGTTGAACCCTTGCAGGGACCAACAAGTACCATATGTTAACGTCTTTTGGTATGAGGCGGCCTTGGATCGAACCCGCGACCTTCCGCTCTTCGGGTGGACGCTCTAACCACTACACCACGGAGGCGGTCTCCTTAAAAGTAAAGGACTGACTGAACACTTGTTTTATAGGTATATGTGACAGGTACCAACGGTGGGGCAGGACACGCTCTATTTTTGTTTTTCGCCAGCACCTGGTATCACAATTTTTTCACAGTGGTTCATAAACACATGCTTATGATATAGTCGGAACTGTACACATGGCTTACGTCTTATACAGACGGCGCGGTGGGGTAGCCTAGTGGTTAAGGCGTTCGCTCCTCAGGCTGAAGACCCGGGTTCGATTCCCCAGATGGGCACAATGTGTGAAGCGCTTTTCTGGTGTCCCCCGCCGTGATATTGCTGGAATATTGCTAAAAGCGGCGTGAAACTAAACTCACTCACTCACTCTTATATAGACAGGATACGTGGTGGTGCAGTTTGGAGGGGACTTACATCATGTAAGGCTCGATCTCCGTTGAAGGTTTGTTAGAATAGATCCCCAGAAGTTCATTATTTGTCATTAAGGGCAAGTGAAAGATGATGTGTCCTTCCTCGTGCTACCTCGTCACAGATTTCTCTACTGCCAATAGTCGTCGTTTACATGTTGTCATTTACATTGACTGCAGCTGGAATATTGTTAACAGTCATAAGTAAATAATTTACAGTGACTGCAGCTGGAATATTGTTAACAGTCATAAGTAAATAATTTACATTGACTGCAGCTGAAATATTGTTAACAGTCAGAAGTAAATGATTTACATTGACTGCAGCTGGAATATTGTTAACAGTCAGAAGTAAATGATTTACATTGACTGCAGCTGGAATATTGTTAACAGTCAGAAGTAAATGATTTACATTGACTGCAGCTGGAATATTGTTAACAGTCAGAAGTAAATGATTTACATTGACTGCAGCTGGAATATTGTTAACAGTCAGAAGTAAATGATTTACATTGACTACAGCTGGAATATTGTTAACAGTCAGAACTAAATAATTTACATTGACTGCAGCTGAAATATTGTTAACAGTCAGAAGTAAATGATTTACATTGACTGCATCTGGAATATTGTTAACAGTCAGAAGTAAATGATTTACATTGACTGCAGCTGGAATATTGTTAACAGTCAGAAGTAAATGATTTACATTGACTGCAGCTGGAATATTGTTAACAGTTAGAAGTAAATGATTTACATTGACTGCAGCTGGAATATTGTTAACAGTCAGAAGTAAATGATTTACATTGACTGCAGCTGGAATATTGTTAACAGTCAGAAGTAAATGATTTACATTGACTGCATCTGGAATATTGTTAACAGTCAGAAGTAAATGATTTACATTGACTGCAGTTGGAATATTGTTAACAGTCAGAAGTAAATGATTTACATTGACTGCAGCTGGAATATTGTTAACAGTCAGAAGTAAAAGATTTACATTGACTGCAGCTGGAATATTGTGAACAGTCAGAAGTAAATGATTTACATTGACTGCAGCTGGAATATTGTTAACAGTCAGAAGTAAATGATTTACATTGACTGCAGCTGGAATATTGTTAACAGTCAGAAGTAAAAGATTTACATTAACAGTAATGATTTACATTGAAGCAACTGGAATATTGTTAACAGTCAGAAGTAAATGATTTACATTGACTGCAGCTGGAATATTGTTAACAGTCAGAAGTAATTGATTCACATTGACTGCATCTGGAATATTGTAAACAGTCAGAAGTAAATGATTTACATTGACTGCAGCTGGAATATTGTTAACAGTCAGATGTAAAAAATGTTTTACATTGACTGCAGCTGGAATATTGTTAACAGTCAGATGTAAATAATTTACATTGAAGCAGCTGGAATCTTAAGAGTCAACAGTCAATCATTTACATGTTATCATGGTTTAACATTAACTACAGCAAAAATATTGTTAACAAGCAATCATTTGCATACAACTGGAATTTGACTGCAACTGGAATATTGTTAACAGTCAGAAGTAAATGATTTACATTGATGCAACTGGAATATTTTCCATGGATGTTCTCCAGTTACACAACAGCCCTTGTCTTTCTTTGTTACCCTTTTTCATCTACACACATATTTATGCGTATAATAACAAAAAACAACAGACCCAATAATTCAATGTTTTTTAAATCAATAGTATAGTAAAAAGTATGGGCATTATTACCATATGTAAACAAATGTAAACAAAAAATTATTGAAGGCATGGCATGACTGAAATGAATTTACATTATGAATTACGATAACAATTGTCTCAGCTACTGAATTAATCACCACCACATACCACCAACAATAGTTACACAGGCTTATACACAGACCTTGATGTTTGTTTTGTGTTCGAACTATGACGTATCCCATCATCTATGGACATTGGACTCCTTACAATAATGTGTGCTGGACAGAAGGCTTGCCAGGAGGATGTTCCTGAAGCTGATTACTTAACAAGTACTGCAACTAAAAAACTATAAAAAAAAAGTACTGTCGGATATGCTAGAAAAATGCTTTTTTGCCAATATATCTTTATAAAGGTGATAAATGTACTATGTTGTCAATATATCAACTCGCCTATAGTGTACCTAATTTTTTATTTCAATCGATTTAACATTCCCATGCATTTAAAGGGCAGTTTACAGGAGAGAATTTGGTACCAAAACAACAACTTAAGATTTTTTCAGAGTTCAACAATAGAAATCTGAAATAGTCTTTAAATTTATGCTAATAATACAGGTGGTGTAAAAATATGAATTAACTTCTTTCTTAAACAAATAAATGTTGAACGTTTGTGTTACTTTACTTAATTATCGATTCTTTATTGGAGAAATATTAATATAAATGTTAAGTCTTAATAAATAAGTTTCCCGTCATGCATGCACATCTTTATCACAGCGTCCACTATGGCCAACTATTTGCAGTTGATTGTTGCAAAGGTTTATAGTTTTTTTGTTACTTGAAAAAGACAGAGGTAAACCTTTCATTAGTTTAGAAAGGGTTTATTACAGAACTTGTAGAGCTGTTGGTATGTCTTACCAACAAGTTTACAACATTGTAAACAAATCAGACAAGACAGGGACCGTCTCAAAGGCAAACCCGGGACGTACAACCATCCTTGACAACTTTGACAAGGGAGTACTTAGACGGGCGGTCTACAAACTTTAGAAGAAGAATAATATATATATTCAAAAGAAGCTACACCAGAGACTTCGTTAAATCTTTGGCCAGTGTTCACAACTAGATTAAACTGACCGAACTACATCCATATTTTTGCAATGAAATATACTGATGACATGCAAAACATCTATTAAAACGTTGCACATTTCTACAATCAATCGATAAGATAACACAAGTGATAGGATTCTTTCCAATGTACAGTAATTCGTATGTTTATATCAAAACAAACACACATACACAAATGATCCCTTACATAACCAATACGTATACTATACATACACATATTCAACATTTTGAAGAAAACATCTATTGAGATGACCCCTCGCCCGAGCGTGTTCTCAGGTGTCAATTTCACCTGTCGATACCGTGCATTCTGATGCCGTAACACAGGCAGTTAACGTTTGTATCAAATAACGTCCCACTACCCCTTATTTTTCTAAGTTTTGGTATTTTCATCAGTAAAAACACATTTTAGGGCATGTCTCAAAATTTATTCCCTCTGACTACATTAGGTAGATGTTTCTTAAAGTGATATTTGTTATTTAAGTAACTGTAATACCTCTGAATTTTAAATATAAGTCAAAAAGCATTTTTCTAGCATTTCCGACAGTACTTTAACATCTGTTTTCTATAAAAACGTGATTTATTGGACTACAGTATGACATAAATACACACAGAAGGAATATATTAATAAGGAAAAGGTACTGGATATCATTTTCGCCATTTTATTCAGAAACAAATAGAAGCCAGCAAATGTACACAAGTTCTGAATCTTTAGGGGTTTTGCGAACAGTGATTCAGAACACCTGCTCATGATACATTCGCTATGATATAATCCACTCTGCTTTTGGCGGATATTTCTTATCAATATGGAAAGGGTTTCTGTTTTATCCACTGTTAAAATGTTAGATGTGAGTGAATGAGTGATCGTGACTCAGATATACTGCCGAGTAAAAGAGTGAGCTAGCGAATATGGTTTTACGCCACTTTTAGCAATATTTCAGCAATATCCCGACTGGGGGACTCCAGAAGTGGGCTTCACATATTGTGCCCATGTAGGGAATCGAACCCGGGTCTTCGGCTTGACTGGCTACCGCACCGCTGAGTAAAAAGTCAGTAAAAGAAAGTGTACGGTTGGGAAATTATATGAGAGTTATGCATGTACTTGTGAAATGGAGATTTGATGAATAGGAGATTGAAAGACTAGGATGTAAATACTGCATACTTAAGGTACACAACTAGGACACGGGTTTCAAACACACCACTATAGAATAACATTTCGTTGTTTGTTAATTCCTAGCGACCATAAAACAACGTTGTATACCAGGATATTCAAGCTGTTTGCTGTGCAGAGTTGTATCCCCTTGGCGAGCCAGAAACTTGTAAAAGTGTGTTCGAATCCTGGTCCACCCCGATTATATCACTCTCTATATTTCTCAGCAGTATACCCGTGTTCTTGCTCTTCAACATAGTGTTAAACGTGACGTGACGTGCATCATTTTGGGTTTCCTCCAATATTAAGCTGAATACTGTCTAAGGCAGGGCTGTACCCTAACTCACACACACTGTATACGTAATTCTGTGTAAGTCAGCACGCCAAAGAATGGTGTCACAATTTAAACACCCCAGTTTTACAATTTTGCATAAATAAATTGATCATTCTCTTTTCAATGTTTGAAATGGAAGGAAATCTCAGCTGCAAGCCATCTTCACCCATAGCAGACAGTTCACGACCGTCTATGTTATTGCCTAACAGGAGAGCCAGTGTTTTTTTGCTTGACGCCACCTGCCTGCTTCAACTTGTCATGCACTTCTGTCGCAGACATTGCAACAGCGGTGGAATCCTTATCTGCCCCTTCGTCCATTATGCTGATTCCCGAGTCTGCACACAGAGAAATACACTTCCCTTGCCTTATATTATCAGGAGCTTCATACATAACATCCTCTGTCACGACGGTCGGTGATGGACTATCCGCCGGCTCCAAAAAAATATCATCAGGACTTTCATACACCACATCATCTGTGCTGGACCTCAAAGGTTGGAAACCCGTTTCTCCCTTCTTCTGCCACATTTGCTCAACGGGTTCGTAAACGTCATTTCTTTGGTGAATTCTAAATTTAGAAGGCCGTGAACAAGAAACATGTTTCCTTTCATCAGGTGATTCGTAAATCACATCCTCTGTTTTTACCTGATGCACTTCCCTAGAATAAGATACATCCTTTTGTTTCTTTGGTTTGAGGGGAGGGACAGGAATCTGATTCTTCTTCCATTTATTGATGGATCGATCCTCATCAGTACCTATTTCCGGCCTATCAGGATTCTCGAGTTCTATCTTGATACCATCGACCAAATGCTCTGAATATTTGGAAGGTGAAGCCAGAGCTTCTTCATCACTGCCACTGCTACCCAATTTAAGTTTCCGGAGACTTTGTATGTTTTCATACACCATCACATGCTCTGCTCTTGGTGGTATCGTTGCTGCTTCACCTCTGTTAGCCGGGCCACCTGTTTCAGAGTATGTAAAACTTCCCGCCCTTCCTGCTTTAAGTCCATCAACACAAGTGTCTAGTTGGCCCGCACTGGAAGTACTCTGGTCGGATTTGTTTTCACGCTGCCACAAGTTAATTTTGTCTGCTAGGTTCATGACCTCGTCAGAATCGGAATCATCGTTATCCAAATACACTGGGACAGTCAGATAGCCATTGGTTGTACTTATTCTTATTGTCTTCCTTGTTTGAACCTTTTGAGGTCGTTTTGGATGAACATAACCAGAACCGCACTTTGGTGGAGTAGACGGTGAAGTAAATGGTGGAGTAGAAGGTGGTGTAGTAGACTTTGGTTCAATCCACACAGACTCATAGGTCGCTGGTTTCGGTTTGTTGGAGGGAGGAGGGGGAGCAGGTTTCCTGGGTGCTGGTGTGGAACGAACTACTAATTTAGGTGCGGGACTAAATCCAACTGCTGCGTCTAGGTTCCGTTCTTCATGTTGCCGCAACTTAGCAGGGTGAGGTGTTGTCGGGTTTAGTGGTGTTCTAGGTAGAACAGCGGGTGTCACGTTATGACTTGCTAGAATGTCAGGCATACTTCCAGTAGGCTTCTGTGGTTTCGGAAGGACTTTTGAAAGAGGCTTGACCTCTGTGGGTGGAGAACATTTGTGTGTGGTTTCGCTTCCTTTAGAATCAACAATAACAGCATCAGATTTTGGCACTGCAGACGTTTCACCGATTTGTTTATTTCGACAAACAGGAGGTGTAGATTGGTTTCTGTTCTCTTCCGTGGGTAAACTCTGAGCTACTTTAATATTCCTCATATATCTTTCTGCATTTTCTTGACACAGGCCAAACGCGTTTGTATAGCCTCTGCTGTTTATAAGCGAACTGTCAGGCTTGGCTACTCTGAACATCAGAGGAATGCTGGTTGGAATTTCAAGCAGTATATTCCTCAGGTTGAACACTGAAGAAACGATGGCTGAGGTGTCAAGATGAAATTCGTTTAAGTTCAAAACTCCGGTAAATATGCATGGGGTCAGTGGTACTCGTCCATACACCAACTTCACCTTACAGGGTAATGGCTGGGTGTCTATGATATCTTTAATCTGCATTATAGACTGTTTGTGTGTGTTCTTGTACTTCACGATGTAGAAAACACCCGCTGCATCTAAGGGCAGCATCACTTCTCGGTCTGCCTGGTCTAAACATAACACAAATTTCTTTTCAAGTGTAACCGATTTTGAAAATATGGATTTTTTCACTTTGCTTGTGGCCACGTACAAGTGGCCCATTCGGAGTACATCGCCGGGGTAGAGGACTCTTGGTTGTGGGGAACCATCAGTTCTCTGTATCTGCACTGCTTGTACTTCGTGTTCTCCGCCAATCAGAAACATATCACAATCCGAAGAAGCAAGGTTCGCCACCTTCCGATAGTGGGGAATAGGCTTCTCAAAAGACGTCAGTTTAACTGCAAACCATCCTGTGAAGGCAAGTGAAATGTCGTTATCAAAACTATACATTCAAGGAGAAAATGTACAAGGAAGTGTGTGTATTCAAAGCTGTGTCGCCTTGATTGTTTCTTGCAGTATATATTTATATCACATATACATTATATATATATAATGTGTGAGCACATCTCTTGTGTCGTATGTTAAACACGCCATAAAAAGTAAGTAAATATCTTAATCTATCCCCCACCCCTCCTGACATAATTCTCCTCCACACCCCACCCTGACATATCTCTAAACTTTCGGGTTTTGTGTTTACAAAAATCTTAATTAGTTACTAAGAACGTGGCACCCATTCGGGTTGACATTTTCGTGTGCAGACATTTAAACATTAACCATACCATACAAAATTGCGGTAATTCCATTTAAAAATATTTATGTTGCCTTACATTATTGATAAATGGCCTGAACATTCCGAAGTCACTCACAAACCGTCAAAAAAGCATTATAGAATGCCTGTCAATGTCACTATGGCACTCCATATTCTTCCATACTGAGTCACTGTGTATAACGATCTTTGCGTGACATATGACCGTTATAGCGTTCACATAATAACCTGTTCAGCTCAAAGGGGATATAACGTAATGCTGTCTTTCTGTACCGTTATGACAGTGACCTTCAGGTACAACCAGTAGAGGTGAGGTGAGGTGAGGTGAGGTGAGGTGAGGTGAGGTGAGGTGAAATTGGGTTTAACGTCGTGCTTAAGAATATTTCGCTCATATGACGACGTGCATGCGTGTGTATGTGTATGTGCGGCTGCTTGTACTAGCCCAGACTTAAGCTTGTTTTATAGTGCTAGCCCACTGAGATACCATGCCGCAGTGAAGCATGAATACCCCACTCAGACACATTATACTGACTCCGAGCCGACCAGTCCTTGATGTACCCATTAATGCCGAGCGTCACGCAGGGACCAAAAAGTACCATCTTTTAACGTCTTTTGGTATGACGCAATCGGGGATCGAACCCGCGACCTTCCGCTCTCCGGGCGGACGCTCTAACCACTACACCACGGAGGCGGTCACAACCAGTAGAACCCCCATAAGGTATCGACATCTTAATAAACTATCGTGTGTTCTCTGTTGAAATAGGGTGCACAGGTTTAAGTGGGTAAACAACGCCAACATTCACATCAGGGTTACCGTAATACCTACTCTGCAGATCAGTAACCGATGTCAAAGGTTGTCTTAACAGGTGACTAACGGGATCGGGTGGTCAGGTTGGGGAACTTGGTACATGAGCGTCATCGTATCTCAGTTGCGGAGATCGATGCTCGTGAAGTCAACCACTGGTTTGTTGGGTCTTGACTCGAGTATTTACGAACCGCTGTCATACATATTGCTGACTGAACCTTCAACTGTACGCTTGTTTGATTTACGTTGTGAAAGTTTGGAGAAGTTACACTGAACCGTTAAATACCGTGGAGTTAGACCCGATGAACCCATTCCTGGACACCTCATTTCAACATTAGTTGTAAACATGTGAACTTGTATTGAACGTTTACATCGACAGCCAACTCTCTCTCCCCCTCTCTCTCTGTATCTCACCCTCTCTCGCACTCTCTGTGTATCTCTCTCTCTCTCTGTGTATATATATCTATATATCTATATCTCTCTCACACTCTCTGTATCTCTTCTTTCCCTCTCTCTCTGTGTATCTGTCACTCTCTGTATCTGTCACTCTCTGTATCTATCACTCTCTGTATCTCTCTCCCTCTCTCTCTCTGTGTGTATGTCACTCTGTCACTCTCTGTTTCTCTCACTCTTTGTATCTCGTCTTTCCCCTCTCTCTCTCTCTCTCTCTCTCTCTCTCTCTCTCTCTCTCTCTCTCTCTCTCTCTCGATACACGATACGGACTTGCATTCGATGCCTTTGGATGTCCTATCTTGTAAGGTGTAAGAGAAAGATGTTGCTTGGTAATTTAATGTGTTACGTCATAATAGTGGCGCATGGATAGTAAAACTTGCAAGCTTCATATGACTCTGGGACGCCAAATTTAGGTTAGCTTACGATGCTTCGTATGTAATACTATGAATCTAAGTAAAGAATGGCGATGTAAAATAGAGGCATTTGCGCTATGGTCAGCGTCACCGTTTGGTAATAGGGTTCGTGTTTCCTTAACTTCACGTGTGTGTGTGTGTGTGTGTGTGTGTGTGTGTGTGAGAGAGAGAGAGAGAGAGAGAGAGAGAGAGAGAGAGAGAGAGAGTGCGTGTGTGAGTGCGTGTGTGCGTGCGTGTGTGTGAAGGACAAGGGTGGCCGAGTTATCGCGGGGGCCGCAATTCTCTATACAGAGATGTTTCATATCGATGGAGTTCTTGAGTCATGCAATGAATGATAAAATGTAGTAATTTAAACTTTATCTGGTTAGTTTTATTTTTGCACATGTTCACGTGTATTTTAATACACCGTAAATTGGTCATACAGGCAAACGTATATGGGCGGTGGGGGTAGCCTAGTAGTTGAAGTGGTCGCTCGTCACGCCGAAGACCCGGGTTCGATTCTCCACAAGGGTTCAATGTGTGAAGCCCATTCCTGGTTTCGCCCGCCGTGATATTGCTGAACTAAACCCACATGCATAATCTCTCAACGTCTCCGCTAACACCACTTATCGTATATGCGGGTTGGTCATTTTGCCTTCTCTTCCCACCCCCCAACCCCCTACACACACGCACACTCCCCCCGGTCCCTAAACGTAATTTGTTTGAATGTCTGCTTTCAGTCCAAAATTAAACTGAGGTGTTAAGTCTACAGGTAGCCTCTCTTAGGTGGCACAGTAAATTTCCTGTACAAAATTGTATACATTCAAGGTTGTATGGACATTTATTGTATGAACATTATTACCTCAAGTTGGACTCAATTTCAAATATATTTCACTTTTTAACTTGAGAAAACAGATAAGCGATTGTAAAGACGTATAAATGATTTATAATATCTTCGACATATTGCATTCAACATCGACAGAGTGTGATAAATGATATGGGATTAAGCGTCGAGGTCAAGATTGTTTCCCTTTCATAGCGACGTAGATTATGACTCACCGGCGCCTCTTATATCAACATGTTCGAGAACAGTCTTCAGTGTTCATTGTATTATTCAACAGGAAGGCGTTTTCGTAAATCTATTTGAAAACTCTGCCTACTTACATATAACAACTTAACCTCTATAGCCTGCTTTGGAGTATATGTGTTTTAAAACACGCCGCATCGTGTCATGTGGTCTTGTAGATGGAGTGTCTGCCCAGAGATGGAAAGTGAATGTTTCTATTCCCAGAACGAGTCACAACAAAATGTTAAAATGTGCTACTTTCTGCACCCTGCTTGACGATCGGCCTTTAGGTTCAGTGTGAAAACCCATTCATCTACTCATCGATTAACATTATATACAGTGGGACCTGCATAAACCGAATTCTGTTAATACCGGACCAAATGTAAGATCCAAAATTGAATACGGTATTTTGTCAAATTACAGTTGCATATTCTGGAGACCAAGAGACGTAAATCTTGCCAGAATCGGATTTGCAATATTGACTGCTGTGAAATGTAACCGGACTGCAATGCCGGTCACGCAAATCCGGTTTGGACAAAGCGTGTATGAAATAATGTTGAGTCTCCTTTGAAAAAAGGGCAAATGTATTATGACGTATTTAACGGTCGATAGCGATTGTAACCGTAAATAACACTTGCCCTTAATGTCAACAACACAATCAGTGCCTCGTGTATTCCACAAAGCAGGCATGTTTGTAGTTCATTCAACCAAACAGCTATGCTGTGAGCAGTACACTATCGATATAACATTGTGGGATCGTGACTCAAATATAAAGGTTTTATGATATTTTATTGGTCTGTATATGAGGCCCAGCTTTTCAAGGCACACACAGCATTATTCCAGATTTCACAGCTCCAGGTGAACACTAAACAATATTACCGTCAGCTGCTAACGTATACATGCACCTGAATACGATAGTTAAAACGAATAGTATACCGTCATAGAGGAAGCTGCCCAGTCTAGCCTTCTTTAGAAAGCTTGTTTACTATTACGTGTCGGTAACATTCACCAATATGGCGTCCTTCGATGACTGATTATTTAACAACTTATATTTATTGTATTTGTAAATCTTTTCTCGTCACTATATGGCTGAAATATTACCGAGGTGATGTTACATTTTAACTCACTCACTCACCAATACGGCGGCGGTATGTAAATAATTGAGTCTGTACAAGACACGCAAGTGATCAACATCATGAGCATCGATCTACGCAATTGGTTACGATGACACGTGTCAACCAAGTCAGCGAGCCTGGACACCCGATCTCGTTAGTCGCCTTTACGACAAGCATGGGTTGCAGTAGACCAATTCAAACATGGATCTCCACGAGTCTTGTTTACTATTCAAATACAGGGCTCACGTATATAGGAAAAATGTGAAATAGTAATACGGCTTCCTTACTGTAACTTTGGGCCACGTAAAACAATATCTTAAATTTAAAATCAAGATAGTTTAAAAGCAAGGGTCAGCAAACTATATATCTACCTTGAATACCCAAGAAGAATGTTAACATGTGAGTGAGTACGTAATAACTCAAAAATTCTTCAGAAACCTGCCTGGGCCAGACAATCAAGTGATATATTCTATTTTGCGAGTCGCACGTGCAGTCAGTGACGTCACCGTAACTGGTTACCAAATCCATTCAGACGCCTCTTACGAACGGCATAGATTGCGTGTGACCAATTCTAACCCGGATCTCCAAGGGGCGCTAATGTCGCGTTTGACATTGATTTCACAATCCACAGATCTTGATAACGATGGGAGCGTGTGATATTGTTCAAGGAAACCAAAACTGTTGAATAAAATCATGTTCGCCCAAAACAGGAAGGAAATGTATATACATGTATATTTTGTGTATATGTATGCATGTATGCCATCCATATACGTTTACCCTTATGGCCAATTTACGGTCTATTGAAATACTTTTAAACATTTAAAGTACAAAATTAATACTAATCAGAAGAAGTTAAAAAACGATCGCTTGTTTCAAATTACTACATTTAATCATTCATGGCATGACTCAAGAACTCCATCGATATGAAACACATATATCATGACATGGCGGGTGATGTTCAAGATCTGCGAAGTAAACGATTGTGGTTAACATGTATTGAGGTCACCTAAACGTTGGAGGTCATTGGGTAACCTAGTGATGAGAGCGACGAAAAGTGTTCGACTACTGAAATATTACAAGCCCATATGTGAAGTCCATTTCTTGTATCTACCGTCGTGCTTAGATGATCCACAAACTAACTCCCTAATTCTAAACTATAAACTGTAAGTTAAACTATACGTAACACAGTCTGACTTGAACATGTCGTATTGTTAGTATATAGTTCGGATGTGTAGCCTAGTGGATAAAGCGTTCGCTCGTCACAGCCCGGGTCTGGGTTCGATTCCTTATATAATAAGTGAGAACCAGGCATTTTTTCTTTACGTGATATATCTGACAGGCTGTGATAATGGTCCCTTCTCTCTCATATGTAATATTCTTGAGTAACAGTGAATTTAACGTTAAAATTGTCGATCTTGTTATCGCTAACGGACACATTCGTCGTCTTAGAATCTTCGGCTCTCCTGTGTGACTGTGGTAAGCTTTCAGCACACTCACTCACTCATCATTCACTCACTCATATTTTTACTCACTCACCATTCACTAACTCATCTTTTCACTCACTCACTCATCTTTTCACTCACCCATCCACTCACTAGTACGCTCACTCACTCACTCACCTTTTCACTCACTCACTCATCTTTTCACTCCCCCATCCACTCCCTAGTACTCTCACTCACGCATCTTTTCACTCCTCCGTCCACTCACTAGTACACTCACTCACGGATCTTTTCACTCCCCATCCACTCACTAGTACACTCACTCACTCATCTTTTCACTCACCCATCCACTCACTAGTACACTCACTCACTCATCTTTTCACTCACCCATCCACTCACTAGTACACTCACTCACTCATCTTTTCACTCACCCATCCACTCACTAGTACACTCACTCACTCATCTTTTCACTCACCCATCCACTCACTCACTCACTCACGCATCTTTTCACTCCCCCATCCACTCATCTAGTACACTCTCCTCATCTTTTCACTCCCCCATCCACTCACTAGTACTCTCACTCACGCATCTTTTCACTCACCCATCCACTCACTAGTACACTCACTCACTCATCTTTTCACTCCCCCATCCACTCACTAGTACACTCACGCACTCATCTTTTCACTCACCCATCCACTCACTAGTACACTCACTCACTCATCTTTTCACTCACCCATCCACTCACTAGTACACTCACTCACTCATCTTTTCACTCACCCATCCACTCACTAGTACTCTCACTCACGCATCTTTTCACTCACCCATCCACTGACTGGTACACTCACTCACTCATCTTTTCACTCACCCATCCACTCACTAGTACACTCACTCACTCATCTTTTCACTCACCCATCCACTCACTAGTACTCTCACTCACGCATCTTTTCACTCACCCATCCACTGACTGGTACACTCACTCACTCATCTTTTCACTCACCCATCCACTCACTAGTACACTCACTCACTCATCTTTTCACTCACCCATCCACTCACTAGTACTCTCAGTCACTCATCTTTTCACTCACCCATCCACTGACTGGTACACTCACTCACTCATCTTTTCACTCACCCATCCACTCACTAGAACACTCACTCACTCATCTTTTCACTCACCCATCCACTCACTAGTACACTCACTCACTCACGTACGTCGCCTACCTTTGTAGTCTTCAGGTATGAGTAGAGGATCCCCAACCTCTACAGTGTTCCCAGTTTGAGGATCAGTATTAAGACTGGTTGCTGTCACCTTGTTACACACCCGCTTCTGGTACAACAACAGAGGCTGAAGAAAATCAAAGTTTGATTGCTCCGTGGATATGTCATCATTAAGTGTATAGGCACACTGTACAACACGAGGGAGCGGGTACTTCTGTAGAATGTCCTCCAAGGAATACGCTCCAACTTCCCACTGCAGGTTCGGCTTGGCGACAGTTTCAGGGGGAACAACCTGGGGAGTCTTCTTCGGCATTGTGAGAACCAAGACGAGCTTCATTCACAACTCAGCCTGACCTGTCGTCTGTGTAACTGCTCACATGAGCCGGTTTCCCCTCAATATCAGTCATTTCATAAATCTGCGTTTTCAAATCGTTTACATCCGTATATCGACCATGGACTCTCCAACTGGTGTGTACGTCTACCACCAATACTACAGGTACAAAGTCTCCACCCGTCTCGTACCGTAAGATAAGCGTGATTTATGTCTGCTTTTTACGCCTGAAACTGTGTCACAACCGTCGGCATCTCCACTGTCTTAAGACTGAAGCTGCTCCATCAGGAAGTGTGAGTACGCCGATATCATCTTTCACCGGGTCTACTAGTCATAGCGCTAACCCCTTTCATTTTGTAGCTTCCACAATCTGTCCAAGCCATAGATGGGCTTTACCGACATGGACGTATCATTGAAATATCTGAATGTGCCTGCATAATGAATCGTATATGTATTTATGTTACGTCTTTATCGACATACAATCGCTAGTCATGTGGTGTATATACGTCTGCATGTGATACACACATACATATTGAGAGAAATGACGCGATTTAGTTCCTGGTTCGGTTGCCCAGATTCGGCTTCACGCTCGACAACCCGAGCGCATCACAAGGTCACGCTTCTCAGTCGGGGCTGGCAGTTTGGAACATCTAGCCCCTGTCGTGGATTTTCATTCGATATTGTAGTTAAGTTGCTCAACGATCTGATAAACAAGTACGTTGCATTTAGAAAACCGGTTTCGTCAAGTCTCGATACCGTTCAACCTAACAACCATCTACAGTGGTGGGCGCCTTCAGCTTAAATTCCTCAAGAGGTTAGATGTCAGATAGTCTTGGCATGCCGGCAACACCTGAGTGAGTGAGTTTGGTTTTACGCCGCTTTTAGCAATATTCCAGCAATATCACAACAGGGGAGACCAGAAATGGGCTTCACACATTGTGCTCATGTGGGGAATCAAACCCGGGCCTTCGAATGACGAGCGAACTCTTTGACCACAAGGCACCCACCGCCCCCTGCAACACCTCAACCAACCATAACTATGAAATACTGAGAATAAGGTGACCAGTCGGAACCATATCGTTTCAATGTTCTCGTAAAAGGTATAATGGGTTGATTGTTTTCAGCAATGTTCCAGCAATATGAGGGGCGGTGGGTAGCCATGTGGTTAAAGCGTTCTCTCGTCACGCCGAAGACCCGGGTTCGATTCCCACAACTTTCTCACTCATTCCAGCGATATGACGAAGAACTGTACATGATGGCATCGACGAAAATGGAATACGATGCCATGTACTAACCATGACAGGGACCCTGACCACCCGATCCCGTTAGTCGCCTCTTTCAACAAGCATGGGTTGCTGAAGACCTATTCTAACCCGGAGTCTTCACGGACGGAGTGGGTAGGGACAACATGTATGACAGTTTAGGTTAATAGAAGCAAATTCACCTGAAGTGGTAGAGGCTAGTAGGACATGTCAAGCGTGACACTATAACGGACTACCAGGAAGTGGAATGTCACATACCAACACACGGTAACATTACATAGTGTACTTGATACTGAGATCGGCTAAAGGGAAGTGATAATCCCCTCATCTGTACAGAGGCGTAAAGGGAGACACGGATACAAATATAGACAAGTACGCACTTGTATACAATTAACATGACAAGTCAGTAGGAATCAGTATATCTGGTACGAGGAGGGTCTAGCAACAGGACAATTAGCTGACAATTTGTAGGAGATTGGTAGGAAGAAGTATAGCATATACTTCTAGGGGCCAAAAGTAAGAAGCATAGCTTAGACGTATGGCGATTACAAAGTCTAGCTGATACTTTAAGGGGCTTATATTAAAAAGTATAGCTGATACTTATAGGGCAAGTAGGAAGATGTATAGCTGATACCTATAGGGGCAAGTAGGAAGAAGTATAACTGATACCTATAGGGGCAAGAAGGAAGAAGTATAGCTGATACCTATAGGGGCAAGTAGGAAGAAGTATAGCTGATACCTATAGGGGCAAGTGGGAAGAAGTATAGCTGATACCTACAGGGGAAAGTAGGAAGACATATAGCTGATACGTACAGGGCAAGTAGGAAGAAGTATAGTTCATACCTATAGGGGCAAGTAGGAAGAAGTATAGCTGATACTTATCGGGGCAAGTAGGAATAAGTATAGCTGATGCTTATAAGGGCTAGTAGGAATAAGTATAGCTGATACTTATAGGGGCAAGTAGGAAGAAGTATAGTTGATACCTATAGGGGCTAGTAGGAATACGTATAGCTGATACCTACAGGGGATAGCAGGGAGACGTATAGCTGATACTTACAGGGCAAGTAGGAAGAAGTATAGCTGATACCTATAGCGGCAAGTAGGAAAAAGTATAGCTGATACCTATAGGGGCAAGTAGGAAGATGTATAGCTGATACCTATAGGGGCAAGTAGGAAGATGTATAGCTGATACCTATAGGGGCAAGTAGGAAGAAGTATAGCTGATACCTATAGGGGATAGTAGGAAGAAGTATAGCTGATACCTACAGGGGATAGCAGGGAGACGTATAGCTGATACTTACAGGGCAAGTAGGAAGAAGTATAGCTGATACCTATAGCGGCAAGTAGGAAAAAGTATAGCTGATACCTATAGGGGCAAGTAGGAAGAAGTATAGCTGATACCTATAGGGGCAAGTAGGAAGAAGTATAGCTGATACCTATAGGGGCAAGCAGGAAGAAGTATAGCTGATACCTATCGGGGCTAGTAGGAAGAAGTATAGCTGATACCTACAGGGGATGGCAGGAAGAAGTATAGCTGATACCTATAGGGGCAAGTAGGAAGAAGTATAGCTGATACCTATAGGGGCAAGTAGGAAGAAGTATAGCTGATACCTATAGGGGCAAGTAGGAAGAAGTATAGCTGATGCTTATAGGGGCTAGAAGGAATAAGTATAGCTGATACCTATAGGGGCAAGTAGGAAGAAGTATAGCTGATACCTATAGGGGCAAGTAGGAAGATGTATAGCTGATACCTATAGGGGCAAGTAGGAAGAAGTATAGCTGATACCTATAGGGGCAAGTAGGAAGATGTATAGCTGATACCTATAGGGGCAAGTAGGAAGATGTATAGCTGATACCTATAGGGGCAAGTAGGAAGAAGTATAGCTGATAAGATACCTATAGGGCAAGTAGGAAGATGTATAGCTGATACCTATAGGGCAAGTAGGAAGATGTATAGCTGATACCTATAGGGGCAAGTAGGAAGATGTATAGCTGATACCTATAGGGGCAAGTAGGAAGATGTATAGCTGATACCTATAGGGGCAAGTAGGAAGATGTATAGCTGATACCTATCGGGGCAAATAGGAAGATGTATAGCTGATACCTATATTGGCTAGTAGGTAGATGTATAGCTGATACCTATAGGGGCAAGTAGGAAGAAGTATAGCTGATACCTATAGGGGCAAGTAGGAAGATGTATAGCTGATACCTATAGGGGCTAGTAGGAAGAGTGAACTGGGTTTTAGCAACATTCCAGTAATGTCTCGGCGGGGGACACCAGAAATGGGCTTCAGACAATGTACTCATGCGGAAAAATCGTACCCAGGTCCCTAGCAGGAAGAAGTATAAGGGGTCGTTCGTAATTTATGGCTGGGGTGGGTGGGGGTGGGGGTGTTATATGATGATTTTTATGGAGAAGCATGTACAATGTGAATGACCCGCCCTAAAATTATGTACAAAGTAAGTGACCCCCCTGCATGTCATGTACAAAATCAATGCCCCCCTTTCCCTTTCCATATTTTTAAAGCATATGTTTTTTTAAAAATTATGTACAAAATAGCTGCCCACCAAAGAATCTTGTGTACAAAATTGCTGATCCTCCTACCTCCCCAGAACAAAATGGGTGCCCCCCTTAAAATCATCTCTCTCTCTCTCTCTCTCTCTCTCTCTCTCTCTCTCTCTCTCTCTCTCTCTCTCTCTCTCTCTCTCTCTCTCTCTCTCTCTCTCTCTCTCACACACACACACACACACACACACACACACACAGCCATAAAGTATGAACGGTCCCTAACTGATCCTTGTAGGGACAAGTAGGTCAGTCATCATATACACTTAAACACTTGCAAACAGACACAGAAGAGCGCACTTCCTGAATTGTTGATGTTTGTGATTGCCCTACTTAAATATTGTCTATGACAAACCTGCACCGTCACCCCTTTTGTAGGCTAACACACAGAAGCAACTCAATATCGTGTGGGTCCTACTTCCTTGTCGAGGCTGTGTTCAGCACGATCTCAACAATGACGGTGATACATTCTGGATTCTGATTGGTTAACAAGAGGGATAGTTTTTGCCCTATTGATACCACTTATAATGTATCCACAATCATCGATACATGTTATAGACCCTGTCCATAACCCATTAGTAATTTTTATACTTTAAATTCAGCTTGATATCAAGCTTATCAAAGATGATCAAAGCTATTTCAGAACGCTCTTAATAAAGTAAAGCACACAATAATATCTGCGTCAGTCAGTGTCGAGCAATCATCGGCACCAGCAACGCCAGCCAGAAAGAACTACGACCAACGCCCACTAGGGTGCTAATCAGTAAGGTAACCACTGTAACCTATCATCTGAGTTGGGGTGGTGACGTTTCATGGTTAAAGCATTTGCCCGCCACGCCGAAGGCCCGAGTTCGATTCCATATATAGGCCCATCATGTGAAAACCATTTCCCAGCCGTTGTAGTACTGAAATATCGCTTAATGCACAGTTGAGCAATACTTATTCACATTCCATTTTATTTAGTTCCTGTTGAAGGCATAATGCATTGGCGTATGTTCTGCCTCCTCCCCATCCCCCAAGGGTTCAACGCGTTTGCAATATTAACAAGTTCCTAAAACAGTGATTGAAAGTATGAGCAACCCACGTAATCAGCCAGGTTAACGTTTCTTAGGAGTTTGGCTATGTAAAGACTGAAAACCACACATCCCACATAGTTTACATCATGACGAGCCACATATTCTTCGTTAGTCAGCTCACCAAGCAGCCTAGCTATATATAGTCAGGTTATGGACATGTACGACAATATAACGACATGAAACACTTGGTCGAGTTTATTGTGTACTGTATCAAGGTTTTCAAGGTTACATCTGCAAGATGATGAAAATATGGTGATTATAATACACCGCTGGACAAAGGATTGTTTCCATTAACATTTGCTGGTTGCAAAAAACAAAGCAAACAAGAAATATTTATTCCATGGAGATTGAGAAACTACTACGGCTAAGGCGTGGACCTAATATTCGCACAGACTTATATTATCCGTGCCTGTTGTTGAATACAGTGGCTCCATCTAACTTTAAACTTTCAGTTCACATGTGCGTGTGCGCGCGCACACACACACACAGTGTCATACATACAACACACACACACACACACACACACACATATATATATTATATGTGGCATTTGTGGCATATATTTACACACATACACACACAAGCACACACAGTTATAATATTCTTTTGTGTGCATATTCGTAATATTTATAGACAGATACATATACACACATCGTCACAACCAACCACACAGACACTCACACTCACTCACTCACATACACGCAGTCACACACACACACGTTATTCCACCAACTGCTGCCTGTGATATATACTAGTATCTCATGCCATTTGTGATTTTTACAAAATGATCATTGTATTTATATACCAAGATCTTTGCCTTGAGTCCCTTCAATGGATACATAGTTTATTATAGTTCAATCCCAAACAGAAACATGAATGGAATTTATACATTTCCTAGTTCTCTGTCACGTCCTTCAGTGAAAATCTGAAAATTCTGTCACGCGTTTGTTGTGGGTTATCCAGAAACACAATCTACTGATGTTGGTCAAGGACACTAGAGCGGAAGTACATCCTCAACAATGTCTGGCGGTATATGCTAAACACTGTCTACTGGCATTTGTGCTAAACACTGTATGTTGATGTATGTATTGAACACAATCCATTGAAATATACACTAAGCAAAATCAGAAATTGTTTTAAAGAACATATGATTCGGACTTGAGTGACATTTACAACTCCATGAATCATATCAGGGAAAGAGTCATAACATACATGCCACGGCATGACTTTACGTTAAGCTGTCATCTCCGAATCCAGAGTCTGCGACAGACACACGGGGACATTCCTTCGGGAGGTGGTAGATTCTGTGATGGCCATCATCAAAGTAGAACTCCTCCACCAGAGGGTCCTTATTTAGTGGGACTTCATAATCAGAACCGGTGCTGTGTATTGACAACTTCCTCACATCCTGAAAGTCCTCGTCGCTGTCGCTGTCGCTATTTAGTCCCCATTTCTGAAGATTAACATAGTCATGTCCATCATCCGATTCTTCCCACTCAGCTGTTGCCTGATTTCCCGTATTGGATGATGCAGCTTCCGATGTGTTGCTCATAGCAGGACTGTCCTCCTTCTTGGGAGGCTGTGTGACTTTAATGACGGACACATGACGCGGCTTTGATTGAGAATACGACTCGTGAAATGGCGTCAAGTACTCATTGTTTCCTCCTTGGTTTGTTGATTCGATGGTTGGATGGAGATAATCATCCCCTGCACTGTTTTCTTTGAAACAGGGTCGAGGTGCAAGATCAGGGATATCGTCCCACTCTTCAGAGTCATAGCTGCAATCCCATTCATCTTCACTGACAGGATCCTCTGGTACCGGTGGGGGTGGTTGGAACACACCATCTAATGATGGTCTCTTTTGGTAGACCCGGTGAGTCTTAATATCTGGACCCCGATGAGCTCCATGTCCTGATATAACGGACCTGTCCAGATGGCGCTTCTGAGCAGTTGCTTCAGGAGCCACTTCAGTGTCTTTCCAGCCTCCAGGAACAGACATAGTACATTTAGGATCTCTTCTGTCAGCTCTGCGGATCTTGATGGACTTCATGAATCTACCTGCCTCGTCCTGGCACAAACGAAGTGCATCCTTATATCCTTTATACTCTCGCCATCCACTGTTCATCGTGGCAACATGGAATCTCAGTGGAGATGATTTGGGTATTTCTAACAAAGTGTTCTTTTTGAGGGTGACAGTGGAGCAGACAATCATAGGATCTCGACTCTTGTGTGTCAGTTTCATCCATCCGTGGGAAGAATCCTTTTTCGCCAAGCCTTGACCAGCAACGATTTTGACGATGCATGGCATCTTTCTTAATACATCTTTAATCTGGAAAATAGACGCTTTGTGTTTCTTTATCTTGCTGGTGATGATGTAGAACAAACATTTGCATTCAAAAGGAATATAAATGTCTCTACCTTTTGGATCACGACATTGCAAATAGGTCTTCTTGCCAAATTTACATCGACGTCCCATTTCCAAAACGTCACATGGGAAAAGTTGCTTCGGTGAAAGATAGTCATTCTTCTTCTGCATGACCTGAAGTTTTCGCGTCCACCGATTAGAAATGTGTCGCAGTGAGACTCAGCCAGGTCTGATGCACTGCGGTAGACTGGGATGTTGTTATCCTTCCTCGTCTTTGCATCAAACACACAAAACCAACCTGAGAAAATAAGTCGGAGATTGCAGGGATGTTATTGGAAACATTGGAAATATGGAGTTTTGTGTGTTGTTTACACATTGTAAGTTGTAGACGCATGTCTCAAATAGGGTCTAAAGATATGTATAGATTTTTTCGTATGAGCTGTTCATTATATAAAGGAAAGCTTCATCCTAATGATGATCTAATCGAGAAAATACGTAAACTAAAAGTAAGTTAGTGAATTAGTGAGTTAAGTTTTACGCCACACTCAGCAATATTCCAGCTATATGGCGGCGGTCTGTCAATAATCGAGTCTGGACCAGATAATCCAGTGATCAACAGGATGAGCATCGATCTACCCAATTGGTATACGATGACATGTGTTAACCAAGTCAGCGAGCCTGACCACCCGATCCCGTTAGTCGCCTCTCACGACAAGCATGGGTTACTGAAGATCACTTCTAACCCGGATCTTCACGGGTTACGAAAAGTAATTACTAACAAGACACAGTTTTCAAAACAAAAACACATCATACAATAATTCAGTGACCCCATTTCATTCTTATTTTCCTTCATCGAAAATTATGGAAGTAAGTAAACATGTCAACGCACATTTGGAATAACATCACAAACCTTTATAAGACGCTGGTATTTGGACCTTATCTGCAGATTCCGCCATGAACGTTCCTCCTGTGCCCCCCTTCGATAACCTCACCCCATGGGCTACATGGACGTCAGTGCCCGAATACATGAGGCACGGGACTCCGCAACCTGAGTCATCCGGTTTACAGCGACTGTGATCACACAGGACGATCTGCGGAGGATTCAGATTCCTTAAGATGTAGCTAATGGAATAGCTCCCTGGATGCCATGTCAGCTTCTCTGGTTTCTTTGCCATTCTGTTGCGGATAGATAATTATTTATACTCTCACTGTCGATATTCAGATTACACACTGTCCAATAGGTACGCTCCCATTGTAGTATTTAGATCAGATATTTAATTGCGTTGATGGTTTAAGAAGCAGTTCATTAATTGTTTGAACTGATCCAACACTGTCTGCACTGATTGTCCTTGAACAGTGAATACCTTTCAAAACTCCAGGTTTGTAATAGAGAGTCAGTTTCGTATGTTCTTGTAATGTGAATGATGACGGTCAAGCATCATTCAACTCCTTTCTGTTCAGGTTTGTGAGGAAAGCCTGTTCCCCGTGTTGTCGTTGGGGTACAGACAACTTTAAATAGCGAAGTCAATCTGTAGATCTGCAGAAAATAGTCCGATCAAATTCCTTTCAGGTACGTGAGTGGAAAGTACACAGTTGGCACAATGGTATGCGGTAAAGCAGGAGTCAAGTTCTGCCAAGTTCTGACCTCGTCTCTTGGTGTTCACACGGACTGATATGAAGTTAAACAGAAACGCACAACAAATACACACTCGTTAAATAGTCTATGTCGAAGACATGAAACTTACATACAACAACACAAGCGAACCGCTGCGCGTCTTTGTAGTATATACAATACAGCCAGCTTCTGAAAACGTTAGCTGCTTTTCTAAACTGGTTTTATAGCATACCTGAACTCTGCTTCCTGGTCCGTATTACATGCAAATGAAATGCAATCTGCAAACAGTGGACTGGGCACCCATCTGTAACCATCTCCCGGCGACTGTCTGTACCCATCCATCCGTATCTGTATTGTGATCTTATCTACGTTGCCAGCAAATACTGGATAGAATTGTTAATAGACGTGTTTTGGGAACTTGCTGATCTCTTTGACCAGCATGTGTCACAGGTGGTTGATAAATGGGCTCAAATGTGTTTTGACAATGGTTGTCACTAAAGGGACATCATTGTATGAATTTATGCATGTGTTATGAATGTCACCAGGATTCGAGGAATCTAATCTAACATTATGATTTTTGGGCTCATAGCTTACAACGCATTTGTCATTACTGTGGTTTCAACAAAAAGACCAACAAGAACATTTAACCTCTAGACAGTAATACAAGAGTAATGATTTCAACTTTCGCTTCATATCATTCCGGATTTTGATGCGTCTACGTTTCACAGCTTTTGGGTGCAATCAAACAATCTACGAAGATTCCAATGAGGGTCATACAGCTGTTGCTGAAAGTTGCTGACATGTGGGTACAGCACACAAGGCCTTGATGGTGGACGAGTAGAGAACATATCCATAGTTGATGTACCAGTGACCACACTGATGCACGATGCAGTCCCCGAATTTGACTGTGTTGCATGTATACCAATTCTTGTCTTTGTTGAAGTGAGCAATTGATTTGTCTTTGCATGTGTTTGTGATATGTACCACATGTGGAGCAGGATATGCTCATATTTTCCCGCACACTTGGTATCATCACTGAAACCTGCATAAGATTAATCGTTATGATTACAGGTGCAAGTAAGCGGTGAGGTAGGCTACTGGTGAAAGCGTTCCCTCGTTACGCCGAAGATCCGGGTTCGAATCCCCACATGGATACAATGTGTGAAGTCCATTTCTGGTGTCCCCCGCCGCGATATTGCTGGAAGCGGCGTAAAACCATACTCACTCGTTCACAGGTGAAATTGGCGGATACTTATTTACCGTTATTCCTTGATGACATCATAATGGATCTGAAACATATTTCCAAAGTTTTCTATAATCAATTTACATATATCGAATTGCGCAAAGCTGGATATGTTTTCCGTTTTCCAAAACATCCGGGTTAAAGAGGACTTATTGTCATTAAGCTAGATATATGTGTTTTCGGTACTGAGCCTAAAACGCAAAATGTTTATGTTTTTGTTTACGCGGTAAGACTTTCATTTGTTTTCTAATGCCGAATACGTCCATAGTTATTTCCATAGGTTTCATGAAATGGAAGCATGCGGTTGTATGGTGTGATATTAATTGTGACTCGATTGTGTATCTTTGCTCATGCTAATAACCCCTGGACTGTTTTGGTTGTGATTCTATACATGAATTCCCATCTCGAACAGTTGGAAGAACAGCAATGAGATTACTAGGTATTATACTGACTGGTTTCAGACCTATCAGCATATCAGTTCTGCATAAACCCACCCACATATCAACCCCATTCCATACTTTTCAGCAAGTCGACAACCTTTTGACTTAAGCTGGGTTGAAAAGAATACACAAATTGTAAGGATGAGTTATTTCCTCTGACGTATCGTGATGGGTTTCCCCAGACTGTGAGCTGTACAGACACATCGTGACTTGTGCACAATGCCCCGTTAACAGTGCCTGTAGACGATGTGACCTACATTGAGGTGCGTGTCATCTTCAGTTGCACAATACGTGGTCCTCCAGCCTTTCAAAGGGGCGTTAGTTTCAACTTGTCTTACTGTGTTGCACTATTGTCAGTGCTCGCGAAAACCTGTTTGCGTACCTGTTGGAAGTGAACGTCGACATGAAGGCTGAAAGGACGGTGTTGGTTTTGGATTGCACACACGTCAGCCGTACTTGCTCCAAACTGTAGGAGCCATATTGTATATCCTTAAGATTCATATTGAGATCTAAGTCACACAGGAAAATCTTGTCACATTGGTGCAAAGACTTAGACGTAACTGAAGATATGATTCTTTGAGTAAATATTTAGAACTGCGTCCCGGAGGAAATAGTAACTGGGTGATGGGTACTGGAGCCTGTCTGTCACGAAATAACACCCGGGGTGGCGGGGGATATATCAACTGGGTGGTAGGTATGGTGTACAGGGATATAACAACAGAGTAGTAGGTATGGGCTACTGGGGATATATCAACTGGGTGTTAGGTGTTGGGTACAGGGATATAACAACTGGGTGGTAGGTATGGGGACTGGGGATATATCAACTGGGTGGTAGGTGTTGGGTACAGGGATATAACAACAGGGTGGTAGGTATGGGCGACTGGGGATATATCAACTGGGTGTTAGGTGTTGGGTACAGGGATATAACAACTGGGTGGTAGGTATGGTGTACAGGGATATAACAACAGAGTAGTAGGTATGGGCTACTGGGGATATATCAACTGGGTGGTAGGTATGGTGTACAGGGATATAACAACAGAGTAGTAGGTATGGGCTACTGGGGATATATCAACTGGGTGGTAGGTGTTGGGTACAGGGATATAACAACAGGGTGGTAGGTATGGGCTACTGGGGATATATCAACTGGGTGTTAGGTGTGGGGTACAGGGATATAACAACAGAGTAGTAGGTATGGGCTACTGGGGATATATCAACTGGGTGGTAGGTGTTGGGTACAGGGATATAACAACAGGGTGGTAGGTATGGGCTACTGGGGATATATCAACTGGGTGTTAGGTGTTGGGTACAGGGATATAACAACTGGGTGGTAGGTATGGGGGACTGGGGATATATCAACTGGGTGGTAGGTGTTGGGTACAGGGATATAACAACTGGGTGGTAGGTATGGGGGACTGGGGATAATATCAACTGGGTGGTAGGTGTGGGGTACAGGGATATAACAACTGGGTGGTAGGTGTGGGGTGTTGGGATATAACAACAGGGTGGTAGGTGAGGGCAACTGGGGATATAACAACTGGGTGGTAGGTATGGTCTACTGGGGATATACCAACAGGGTGGTAGGTGTGGGGTACAGTGATATATCAACTAGGTGGTAGGTATAGGGTATTGGGGGCATAACTGGTGGTTGGCTACTGGTGATATAACAACTTGGTGGTAGGTATGGGGGACTGGGGATATAACAACTGGGCGGTAGGTATGGATTATAATGATAAAACAACTTGGTGGTAGGTATGGGGTACTGGGGATATAACAACTGGGCGGTAGATATGGATTATAATGATAAAACAACTTGGTGGTAGGTATGGGGTACTGGGCATATAACAACTTGGTGGTAGGTATGGATTATAGGGATATAACAACTGGGTGGTAGGTATGGGGTACTAGGGATATAACAACTTGGTGGTAGGTATGGATTATAGGGATATAACAACTTGGTGGTAGGTATGGGGTACTGGGGATATAACAACTTGGTGGTAGGTATGGATTATAGGGATATAACAACTGGGTGGTAGGTATTGGGGACTTGGGATGTAACAACTTGGTGGTAGGTATGGATTATAGGGATATAACAACTGGGTGGTAGGTATTGGGACTGGGGATATAACAACTTGATGGTAGGTATGGATTATAGGGATGTAACAACTTGGTGGTAGGTATGGATTATAGGGATTTAACAACTGGGTGGTAGGTATTGGGGACTTGGGATATAACAACTTGGTGGTAGGTATGGGGGACTGGGGATATAACAACTTGATGGTAGGTATAGATTATAGGGATGTAACAACTGGGTGGTAGGTATGGGGTACTGGGGATATAACAACTTGGTGGTAGGTATGGATTATAGGGATATAACAACTGGGTGGTAGGTATTGGGGACTTGGGATGTAACAACTTGGTGGTAGGTATGGATTATAGGGATATAACAACTGGGTGGTAGGTATTGGAGACTGGGGATATAACAACTTGATGGTAGGTATGGATTATAGGGATGTAACAATTTGGTGGTAGGTATGGATTATAGGGATTTAACAACTGGGTGGTAGGTATTGGGGACTTGGGATATAACAACTTGGTGGTAGGTATGGGGGACTGGGGATATAACAACTTGATGGTAGGTATAGATTATAGGGATGTAACAACTGGGTGGTAGGTATGGATTATAGGGATTTAACAACTGGGTGGTAGGTATGGGGGACTGGGGATATAATAACTGGGTGGTAGGTATGGATTATAGGGATATAACAACTGGGTGGTAGGTATGGATTATAGGGATATAACAACTGGGTGGTAGGTATGGGGTACAGGGATATAACAACTGGGTGGTAGGTGTTGGGTACAGGGATATAACAACTTTGTGGTAGATATGGGGGACTGGGGATAATATCAACTGGGTGGTAGGTGTGGGGTACAGGGATATAACAACAGGGTGGTAGGTATGGGGGACTGGGGATATAACAACTTGGTGGTAGGTATGGGGGACTGGGGATATAACAACTGGGCGGTAGGTATGGATTATAATGATAAAACAACTTGCTGGTAGGTATGGATTATAGGGATATAACAACTGGGTGGTAGGTATTGGGTACAGGGGATATAACAACTTGGTGGTAGGTATGGATTATAGGCATATAACAACTTGGTGGTAGGTATGGGTTACTGGGGATATAACAACTGGGCGGTAGGTATGGATTATAATGATAAAACAACTTAGTGGTAGGTATGGGGTACTAGGGATATAACAACTGGGTGGTAGGTATGGATTATAGGAATATAACAACTGGGTGGTAGGTATTGGGGACTTGGGATATAACAACTGGGTGGTAGGTATGGATTATAGGGATATAACAACTGGGTGGTAGGTATGGGGGACTGGTGATATAACAACCTGGTGGTAGGTATGGATTATAGGGATGTAACAACTGGGTGGTAGGTATGGATTATAGGGATATAACAACTGGGTGGTAGGTATGGGGGAC